AAGAAGAGTTGCTATCTTTGCAAGTCTGCAGCTTTTATACAGAACACGAAGGTCCAGAGACTAGGGTACCATAAACAGGGATACTCTGTAGAGTCCTTGAAACAGAGTACGTCTTTGCCAGGTCTGATGAACGGGCAGACACAGTGAAACTACACTATCTCCATATTCTGAGTTGCCATTGCTCATAGCCGTCTCCACTCAACACTGAAACTTGAGGAAATGTATCTCAACAACAGCTCCCATACTGAGGAGAAATCCAGCTAAATTTGTATGTCTTGAACACAGGGGTGTGGCAAAAGAAGACTAATGAAATACAGGGCCAGATGGCAGTGCAGGTTGATCAGAAGCAAAAATAGTTGTATCTAAATATTCTTTTTATACTGGAAAATGAGTGGTATATGTTTTGAGGCAACTCTCAGAACGTATGAGCAAAAATGTAACAAGTAGCAGGTCTTTTTTGCTGTCTGGAGTTCCTCCACCCACAGATTACTAGTAATGGTTTCTGGTTAGGAGCTATACTGTAAATGAATGTTATGTATATCCTTGCTTATGTGCACACACACACACATATAATAATATTACATCGCATATGAAGTTTTGGAATCTTTTCCTTCCTTCCTTTTGTTGTTGGGTCAGTCATTGGTTATGGATTGTTTTCTTGAAGCCAGTGAGCAATATTTAAGATGTGCTGCTTCACCACTCCAATTTCCTATCTATACCCTGCATATCAAAGTGAAAAATCAGAAATTCAGAAATTATTTTTCCTACAATTATCAACGTTTTCAGGGCTAGTTAGTGCTGATAACTGTGAAAGTATATTGCTGTATTCATATAGTTGGAGACACACATGTGCAGTTGATTTTTAACCACGGTAGGCAAGGCAGTTGGAATGGGACTTAAGATGAGGCACATAATTTTTTCCAATGCTTGAATGAAAACCTGAAGCATTTGACAGATGTATGATTGAGCTTCTGATCCAGGAGGCTAGTTTATTGGGGCTTTTTTCCCCCCTCATTTCTGTTTTCCTTCTTCTGTAAATCTCTAGCTGCAGCTTTGTATTGCTTATGTTTACAAAGTTGATGTTACGTCCGTTTAAGGGAGAGCTATTACCTCTTATTTAAAAGGAAAAAGTCCCATTAAAATGTACTCAACTTCAAGACAGAGTTTACAACTGCAAATCAAATATTAAATCCTTATCCCCCAGGGCTTAACTGTACCAGTGGTGAATTGAAACCCAGAGTGTGTACGCTAAAGTAAAAGGGCAGGGCAGGGCAGGCCTATGGCACTTGTAAAGCTTTGTAACACAAGTCATGACAACAATTATCAGGAAGTCCATTTTCTAGGCAGAGTATTTTAGACTACTGAAGGGCTGTCTATGTTAGGAAAAGATTATGTTAGAAACACACAACTCAACTGCTTCCTTCCATGCAGTGCTGAAAGGCAGTTAGTTATCTGCATAGGTAGGATAAACAGTTTTTCATTGCTGTTACAGAAACAGTGATTAAAATGGTCTCAGCTGCCTTTGCTATAATAACGGTGATGCTGGAAAGGTTTTTCTCTCATCTAAATTTTCATTTTAGGCCACTCACAGCAATATTTACTATAGAAATGGTCATAGAAATGAACTTTGTCTGAAGAAGGTAATTTTCCCTGTTAAATAGAGGTCTTTGAGCTTCTACAAGAAATGTTTTGAAGACTAGGTGATGCTTCAAACGGTGAGGGAAATAGGCAGATAGTTGCTGGATATGTGCAGGTGTACCAAATTACTTTCTCTGGACATGATTTACCTCCAGCATTTTTCTACTGCAAAAGCAGACCAGTGTAAAATACAAGATGGAATAACAGCTCAGAAGTTTTAAAACCTGTGGGAATGCACCGGTATCCCACTCAGCACATCATCTCTGAAGATGTTACGATGTAGTAAACAGATGACTAAGGAAGGACAGTAAAACACAAGTAAGATGAAGTTCTTCAAAGGAAGGCATATACCCGCTGACTGTTTCTATTTTTGAGTTGTTACATGTTTTTAGTAGCACTGAAGATCAAAAAACAAATTGTTCATTTATGGCATAGCCTATTCTAACCAAAACTCTAGAGAGTCTGAAAATATTACAACCTACTTATAAACTCCCATTTGCAAGTTTTTTTTGTTTTTAATAAATAAAGTCCCATAGAAACAGAAAGTATTTACAATTAGATCAAAATTCTGAATATAATTCACAAGAGAAAATGCTATTTTTTGAGAAAATGTTTTCATATCCTCATAACAGTCATTCGTTCTAAATTAGTACATAGCAATTGTCCATTAAATGAACATTTTTCCCTTAAGACCTATTCCTGTAGAAAAGTATTTTAGGCAAAACTTCCTAACCACAATGTAACCGTTTAGAATCAGAACATTTCTGTGATTAGTAATTCACACAAAAATTAACATTTTCCATGGCTTGATGAAAACATGATGAATAACTACCAAAATGTAAGAGAAGACAGGATGTAGAGAGAACAATATATTTTATTAGAGCAGCTTATACAGTTGAAAGAAAAGTGTAGGTTTTTGGGCATTCAGTCCCTTCATCCTAATAAAGGATAACACCTGTTCCTGCAAAACTGCCTTTTCTTTTATCCTTAGACCATCATGACTACGATTACGCTACCATTCTCAAAATATATGGATCATATACATCCATATTGGACTGTCACTGCTTAAACACTGGCTTAAACACTGTCACTGCCGAACTGCTACTTTCAAAAATATTACCACTTGCAATAAAGTAGAATTAAGGTCTTTGAGTTAATGTGCTTCTTGGTCACACAGAATTTTTTCCTGTAACAAAGTAATGAACTTAATTTCATTGTCAGTGCATCTCTTCCACTGTCCTTTTCAAATAATTTTTAATATTACTTATGTAAGAACGTGCCCTAGAATTCTTCTTTATTTAAAAGTAATTTTGAACTCTCATTTCTAGTGAAGCCAATGTGAAACTGGATTGTGTAAGAAACGCAGGCTCAGATTAATAGTTTTTGCTTGTGTTACTATTATAGGAATTCAGTGTTGGAGCTGTGGTCCATCTTAGTGCCAGTTAATCTTTGTTAGGTCCTCCTACAGAAAGGGATGAACTCTGCAATTAAATAGAGGTTCTCCCACTAAGTGATAGATGGCAAAATTTCAAATGTCCAGTGGAAAACAACTTAAAACAAGAGGAGAGAGAATATTTTCTTTTGAATTGTAACAACCACAAATTAGCATGCATGTCATTCCTGTCAGAATCCAATGCTCAGCTAGCACAATGTGCCTGTCTTGAAATGTGGAGGAAACATGCTATCTTGAGCATTAACATGCATTATTCCATTTGCTTTAGGGCAATAATTTCTAAGTTACCTGAAATGATCTCATCATGAACTTAGTGAAGATCAAAGCTGTTCACTTCAGCCTCATGTTGACTTCATCTCAGTGCAATGTCACTTGTGGGTTTTGAACCTTGAGGCTGAGTGATCCAATTCTCCAAACTTCCTGGTGGGCATACTGCTCACTATTGATCATAGGCCCAGAGGTTGTCTGAAATAAGTAGTAGCAAACATTTGCAGGTGTAGAAGGCATGAGCTTAAGGATTTATTTTAATATTGGCCTCTGTCAGCCTCTTCATTGCATAATTTGCACCAACTTAGATTTTCTGCACTGGAAGTAAGGCCAATTTATACTCCCTGAAAATCCAGTCTACTCACATATACACTTACATTACCTCTTGGTCCACTTATGTATCACCACTGAACTTGTCTCACTAAGTTTAAGGCACACTTTTTGCTACATAAATAAGATGTGGACATGGTGAGGAAAGTAAGGGTATTCAATTGAGGACTGCTCCTTACTTCAATATATGTATTACAATTAGTGGCTTTTTTCCCCCCCCACATTCTCTCTTCTGGCCCACCAGTGTGGATCACACCTGCTTGACTTTGTCAGGGGTCACATTCACGAACAGCAAATGTGGGCAGGCTAAATGTGAATCTAAGGCAATCTCACAGCAGTTCTGAGAATACCAAAAGAAGATAGTGTAAGTAAATTTGCCTTCTGTTAAATTTATTCACTCTCCTATGCTTTGCTCCCCATGGAAATCTTAGGTGACATTATAGGGTAACATATATAAGAAAATTAGCAATCTTAACAGCAGTGAACATCTCAAAGCATTCTTGTTCCCAGTGACAAACAATGACAGCTCAAGTTAAACTAACATAGTAGGGTTTCCATTACAGGTTTATGTTTTAAAGAATGAATTCAAACATTACTTTTGTTTAGGAGGAGTCACGCCATTCCAATTTTCTGTGACATTTTTGACAGGATACATTGTTCAATGATGGTTCATCAAATAATTGGGGAAGGTCTCAGGCCAAGTGGTTTGTACAAATCTCTTTCAACTACAGACTCAACAGAGTGACTGAAAGCTGCATTAGCAGTAGCTGCTGTGGTATGTGCCTTGTGGTGCCTCCACGCAGGCTGCTGCTCCACCTGCCTCGGACTTGCACGAGCAGAGTAATCGAAAAGACTCTACTTCCTAAGAGTGATGAGCAGTGCATATTCCTTTCTTAATTAATTCTTGAAATGTCATCTAGTTTTTGAGTTTGCCCACAAATGATGGGCCTAGTTGTTACTTATGCTAAGACCTCTTTACAGAGCTTTATCGCTGTAAAATTATATTATGGTAGGCACAAATATTGTCAGACCCGACGTTTCTAACTTTTGCCTTTTAAGCTCTCATAGGAAATTACATTAATCTGTGATTCAATTTTATTGTTATTTTGCTGCTGCCTTGGGAGGACAAAATCAAGCATAATACTTAAAATGTTTCCCTAGAAATGTTTAAGGAGAAAGATTTTTATTTTTAAGTTGAAAATTTAACTGCATGCTTAACCAACTTCAGTGAAGCATCAATCATACTGGACAAGCAATTTTAAGAAATAAGATAGTTTAAAAAATTAATTCTGAAAATACTGCCAACAATTTCATGATATAGATATTTTTAATATTAAAAGTACATTGTAAATGTGTCTTTATAAACAATATGCATAAAATAGATCTACTATACTAAGCTCTCTCTTTTTAAATGCTGTTTCACAGTAATTTCTTAGGTATGCAAAGTTTTCCCTCAAAGAAATAGTGCAATCTGAAGAACATACATTATGTCAGCGTATTAGAACTACTATGGTAATTAATATAAGTCTTTATAGATTTCTTGTAGGAGTGGATGAAGACTCATATCTGTCTCCGTTTTCTTTATTATTTGCAACAGCTGCACATGTTCTGTTACAATCTGTCTGAGGTCCGTCATTTTCTGAAGCAACTTTGCAAACAGCTGTGATGATTCTGGATGATTCAGCTTTAGCTGGAGCTCCAAAGCTTGCAACAGATTATCTTGTATATCTTCAATGGGCTTCACATTTAACAAACCTGGGCGATCTAGGAAAAAAAAAATTGGGAGTTGTAAGTTTATGAAGAATACGGAAACATCAATCTCATGTATTAATTTCTTAAAGATTTCTTGGTATATCAAGCATTTACATATAGTCCTTCCTGAGAACTGTTTGACAATTTTTTAATGTATTTATTTGTAAGATTTTACTAGAATTTGCTCAGAGAAGTTTTCGAACAATCTTAGAAACAGTTCAAGCATTTGTGTTGTGCAGATACAGAGATAAGTTTATACAATACTACAATGCATTTTCCACAGTAAACTGTTTATGGAAAGGAAGAGTGAGATATAGTTGGGGGATAAACAGTCTGTATCAGATAATTCATTTTTGGAAAATCAACATATACTCAGATGGATTTGCATGTAGCTGCTACCATTAAAAATGTTTCCTGCTAAGGTGGATGCTAACCTACCAAAATAAAAAAAAGGCATAAATTCAACTTCTGCAGTCATACTAACCTGGGAGATTTAAAATTCACAGGTTCAGTTCTTTTCCACACGCAAATTCCAGTTGCTATTAAGAAGTCTCAGAATAGCTTTTAGCATCGACTCATCATCTTAGCCACAGATGCTTATGGCAGTGGAGGACGGATAGATGTGGCTTGTACAGAAAATACCTTTTCTGGGCTCATGCCAACAGAGAGTTCTCGTCCATATGGAGGAATTTGGGATGGACGTTTAAAACCAAAGTCAGCTACTTGCACTGCCACAGCTGCAAGAGTCCAGGATGATCTTTGACATCTTATTCTTTGGCAAGAAGAAAAATCTTTCTTTTTTAACCATTATTAGCTTTCATAATAATAGCTGTTATGTTATTTCTGTCTGTCCCCAAATACCTTCTTAAGTGGTTGCAATTATTAATTAACATAATTTGCAACATTTCTTTTCTAACTTGAAGTAATAATTTATTTGGTTCTATAGCCATGAAAGTTAATAAAGTTACTTAACATTATTAAATCCTCACATATGACAACAACACCAGTAATTTGTTACTGTTAAACTACTTTATACTGGGTAATGCATCCTGATTATCAGAATACTCCCTTAAAAAAATAGTCAATAATTTGAATAACATTCGCTGTGTAGCTATGAAATGAATTTCATAGGTTGATCAATAAAAACCAGTGCTTATAGCTAGCCTTAAATTACTTCCCTAAGGCAATATTTCCATTTCAGAAAGGACAAGAGGTTGATCTATATTAGAAATTTAAAGAATAGGCTGTTATTTCCTGTGATCTTAGTAACCTTTCTGTGCATCCAGTTCTACTAAATCAGCTTGGCTTGTGTTGTATACAAGAAAAAAGGCTGAGAGAAAACAAAGCTCTTTATAAATACATTGGGGTTTTACTTCACAGAGAAAAAATTGCAGTGTAAACTAAAAGGCAAAGTTGGCATGAAAACAAACGAGTATACACAAGCCATGAATACATGTAGGTCACTGATCAGGAAAGGATAGTTAACTCTCAAAGAGGTGAGGTTTGAGGGTAGTTTTTCAGAAACAGGAATAATGGCAATTTTGAAGATGGAGCTTGATATTTGTTTGTCAGTGGTTTTATGAAGCGACTGCTTTGAGTTGTAGGTGACTGGACTCAGTTACCCATTTTGCCTCTCTTTCCGTTTGCTATGTCATGCTAATAAGCTGTGCTTGTCTTGCAGAGATCATTTATTTATACCATTCAATGGATAATACTATAAAATATGGTTCAGAAAGTCTGTAAGTAAATATCTGCAAGCAGAAAATTGTCTTCAAACAAGCGGCTCCTTTTAATTAATTTCCTTTGGCAATATTATCAAGTAATTTTTTAAAGATACTTACAGAATTTTTGATAAATTTTATATATTTATTTTTAGATTACCTAAATGCATTGCATGTGCTGCAAAATTCTTTATATTTTTGGGAAAACTTCCCAAATTACAGTACTTCAAAGCTGTTAATAATTTTGGCTTTGGGTTGCGATAGCTTTAAATTTTACTTCTGTGTTGCAGATGAACTCTGAACTAGCTGGGTATGACTCAGTGTACAGTGATATAAAAAAATCAAAAAGCACAAAGACTATGGCCTTGATTTCCTCTGAGATTAATCTCCATTTGCCCCCTGCTTCTTTTATGGTGGGAAATGTTAGGGTGTGAGTTTTTCAGAAGTGAAACTCAATTCAAACATTGTGCTCCCCAGCTCAACTTTAGAGTCCAGGAGGCAAAGCCAGGAGATCAGTACTGACTTTGGAACTTACCAAGGAGCCCCCAAAATTCGGGTGCCCGAGGTCAACTGAAGTTCGGTGAGACTTAAGTGCCTAAAATCCTTAAGCTCCTTTGAAAAACCCAGTCTAATGGTTTTATAATGACCCAGTGGAACTAGAGTCAGAAAAGATGACTATGACAAAAGCCTAGGAGATCATCAGATGTTATTTTTAAATAAGCCAATTCAAGAGGAAGGAAAATTCCCATTGAAGGCAAGAGAGATTTTTCATGAATGAGAACTTCAGGATACGGACATTATTTTTTGGGTGTTGACAGTTTGCTATACTTTCTCAGTAAAAATGTCTTACAGAGGAAAATGTGGTTTCTGTTCCAAGAAACTTAACTAAACCAGAAAAAAAGGAAATAAGAGGCAAAAGCTTTAACATACAGATATTATGGTATATTTGAAGTTGTTAAGATGCTCTTAAATATATATGCTCCAGAATCATTGGGTTACTGTACCCAAAGGTGTATTTTGTGCAGTAATGAGCTCAAGATAGATGTGGCTTGTAGAAAAAAATTACAAAGGAAATGATTAACAGTAAGCCTTGAGAAAAATTTAGATAGATAATAGGAAGAAACAGAAATGGGAGTAAACTAGATGTGACACTGTGGTGGAGGCCTTTGAACAGGCTAAGACAGAATTGCTGTTTGAAAGCTCACAGAGAAAACTGCAAAGGGAACTGATGAGGGAAGTGAAAGACAAAGACAAATGGGTTGTAGCAGGACTTTCTTCTCACACAATGAAATTAGGTTACAGAAGGTCAAAGGAAGGAGAGTTCAAACGATGAAGGTGAGAGATAAGTAAAAGTGAATTGGACACCACTTTTAAACCTCTCTGATACAGAAGATTGTTGATTGAAGTTGAGCTTTTTTATGTGCTATTTGTGAACTGCCTTTTATCCATTCAGACTATGCCAAAAGAGTACCACATTTCTCTTTTTGTTATTAATTTTCTTTATTCAGTTTTTCTTTAGGTTTTCATTCATTGTCATACAGCTGTTTCATTTGGTTTGAAAATTCTGCAGGAAGCTGTTCTAAGTAAGAAAATGTTCACAGTGACTGGGACAGCCCCTTAGTTTTGAGTGTCAACAGTATGACTTTGTGCAAATTGATGTTCTATACTATCTCATGGAAAAATACCTTGTTTGTTTATTTTCTTACAGATTTGGATGCTTCTTTCATGTTCCTAACAATAATTACAATGTTTTTCTGTTCCTCACATATGAAATTGCCATCAGCATGCCTTTACCTGTACCTTTGTATTTTAATATCTTTGATTAAGTGCATTTTGCATGTAAATACACATTCTAAAATGTTAATATGATAAAACAGGAAAAATACGGCTGACTGAACAACTGTGCTACTTCTTTTGCTGAGGCAGATGTGACTCAGCAGTTTGAGGTTTTTTCTTCTGAGACTGTCACATGTATTGTAGTCACCAGGATTTTGGTACAAAGCCCACAGCGATTATCTGCAGTTCTTGGTCTGATGACGAAGCATTTCTTTGTTCTAACAGGTTTGCTAGAGCAGGATTTGTGTAGCAGTCAAATATGAACTATTTCTTGGTACTATTCAGTGATAAAACTTCAAATTTTGCTGATCTCAGATTGTAGCAAAATTATTGAATATAGTGTTTAAACAAGCAGCAGTGATTCACGACTCAAAATTTACTGTAAAGAACACATTCAGAAAACAGAAAAAGTGAATGTAGCAACATTTCTAAATTTAAATACTGGTTTGACTGTATGTTGACTAACAGAGTCTGGATCTTTACAGGTATACCCTACTACAATTCCCAACACATCTATATCCTAAACACTGCAGAAGATAATATACAAAAGTTCAAGTCCATCCATGATATGTAAACATGCTACAAAATTACCTTTTGAGCTTTTTCTTTATTTGACAGAAACCTGCCTGAGTGGGTTTGCTCTGTTTATAAATGTGGATTACCCCAATAAGGTTTGGACTACTGTCTTTCCTGCCCAAACACAGGCATCCAACTTGTTCTCCTTAAACCTTCTTCTTATGATAGACTTCATTTTCAGCTCAGATATACAAAAAATTTTTAAAGGTGCTTCAAGTTCTTTAACATGTATACCATGGCACTCACTACTGGCTAAGGATAAAGGATATGCCTTGGTGGCACAGAGGAATACAGCAGGGAGGAAGAATATCTCCTTGAAAAAAGTTTTTCAAATCTCATTTTACTGAAGTGTATTTTTCAAAGTTATCGTAAGTAAATGAATGTTGTAATGAGAGTTTGGCGCTGCTGTCAATGGCATAAAGCATTTATTTTCTAAAAGCAAGGTAATATCCTACTGCTCACACACAGAGTCTCTTTGTCTCCTGAGCATTAAATTCAGAATAATAGAATTTGTTTGCCATTTACAGTATTGTTTTAAAGCATAATATACCAACATTAAGAACAACTCTTCAGCTTTGTAATAATGAGTTCAGAGTAACATTTGGAATCATTGAGACAGAGTGAGGCTGCCCTGAGCAGCTCAGAAACAATAAAATGATTGACTGTGGAAGTGCGAGTATTTTCATTTTGTTGCTATTACAGTTAATTTGTCAGCTTCTTATTATTGTTATATGGGCATTTTGCCTTTTTACATATAATGCAAAAGCAACTGTTTTGATACCAAAAAAGCTGAACTGTTTTATAGGATCTGTGGCAAATTCCAAACACTTACTTCACAATGAAAAGCTTTCTACATGTAACGCTCCAGCTGGAATTATCTTTCTCTTTCCCTTCTCTCTTCTTCTTTTTAGATCTGCATAAGAGATAGCACCCGTGGAGCCAGCAGAGCTAATGTAATTTCGCTAGGCAATGACAGATTCACTTAGAGCGTTTGGCTAGGATACTTGTTTGTTTCACAAACTGGGTTTTTCTTTTTAAGGTATTTATACACAGGATTTCTTGAAGTGACTTAAACATTACAGTATTCCTGCAGCTAGTAAAGTTCTTGAGGTAATAGGAACTGGTCTTGAAATCCTATATTCAATTAAATCATCCTGGTTCGATATTTGCATAGTTCTTACAGAAATTAAGTTTTGTAAGAACATAGCTCTTACAGAAACAAGAGCATCTGAGAAATGGGATTTCAGTTCCATACCACACAAAATATTATAGTCCCACTGAATGCATACAGTTCAATGTATATCATATCTGACTGGAAAAGCCATTCTCTAATTGGCAGCAAAGCTTAATTGGTTTCAAAATACAAACTCAGTTTTTACAAATAACTATCTTGGAAATAAAAAAGTTCTGAATAAAGATAGTGAGAAATCTTTGTTATCAAGAAATTAAAGCATTTTCCTAGAAAGAGCTGATTTATATTTATATGCATGTATATGTTTATATGGATTTGCTTCAGAGTTATTTAAGAGCTAACTATTAAAATTCAGTAGCTCTTTACAGATCCCTGTTTACAATTATTTGTAAAAAAAGACTTGCTAATAAATTTGGTTCAACATAGTAAAGTTTTTTCTGCAGATCATTGTCCTCCTGAGATCTAAAATGTAAGATTAGTTTCCTATTTCCTCTAATGTAAACCAAACATCACTGAAGATGTAGCTTTGCAGATTGCAAGTTCCCTTTTTTCAATTAGGAGTGGATTTTGAGAGGCCTGTTTCTCATCTGTCAAATTTCATCATATTAGAAAATGCAAAATATTGGCATGTTTTGTGTAGTGCCCTAATAGGCTTGTATAATTTCTCCTCCTCCATCAAAGCCAACCAAAAATATAGCAGCAACATATTTTCCCTTCCTGAATTAATTCAGAGTCCTCAGGGATCATTGTGTTCAAAGGTTCGCACAAGAAAACGTCTTATGGGAACTGTACTTGTTTGAAGTGGATTTAGTTAGTCTAATAAACCATATTGTGATACCACATTTTTACTGAATGAAACACAATGCCAGAAGTAATTGTATGTGATTTTAAATGAAGCTATACATCACAATGCACTCTCAACAGAATGTTTCTTTTCAGAATAATAGCATGTGGTTGTTGTGTTTGATTGCTTGAACATAATTTAATAACAAAATACTCTGCGTTGCTCTGTGGAGGTTCTGAATTCAGAATATTCAGCACATTCCTCCTGTTGATATCTGCAGTATCATACTAAGCCAAAATACACACAAATGAGTAGGGTAAAATTTTCTTTGTGCAACATCACTTATTTGATGGTATTGGTCAAAGGAAAAGACCTTGAATATGACCTGAAATGTGTATCTGATATCTCAGATCCTCAATGGAAAAGGTTCCTAAGTGAACTAAATCTTGGTAGCAGTCCCCAATTCACGAAGTATAGTAGCTACATCACCTCAGAATCAGATAGAACACAATGACTGCCTTCCAAAAAGCTGAAAATTCAGTGTCTTTTTTAATGAAGTGTTAGAATGCATGTAGTCTGATGCCTGGGCTTTCAGGTGCATGCTTTGCTCGAAGCACAATGCATGAAGATTAATACAAAGAGAGCAGCTTAGGAAATCTGAACAGAGCAGATTCCTAATGCCTGAGAAAAACAGACATTGTGTGACCATCATTTTCCTGAGAAATGCATTCTTCCCCCCCCCCCCCTTTAAAGGCAAACAAAACCTTGCATGAATGAAAAAAACAACAACAACAATAAAAAAAACCCCATAACAATCCTGTAAGCCAAATGCCACATATATTCTGAAATTGTTATGGAGTCAAAGCTATTTGTGTACAATTAGCAAGCCACACAATCTAATTGCAGGTTTAAAAAACCCTCATGCAGAATTTTAACTTTTAGAAGCTCTTGCCAGTGAAATTCCACCCTTCCTGTTTTCAGAAAGATAGTCCTGATTTTGTTTTCTAACTAAATGAACTGCTGATTCAGCAGGCATTTCCAGCTCCATCATTAATGTCAGGTCATTTACATTTTCAGTTTCTGCCTGAAACTGAAAAAGGGCAAACAACATCAAGAAAGCTGAAAATTAATAAAAAACTACGTGTAAATAAACTCACTCCCATCCTGTATTGCTGAGCACTTTACTGTTTGGACAGGAATTAAAAGTGTCAATTCTATTAAATGAAATACCATATTAAATAAGACAGCACTTACCTCCGCTTAGTATAATGACAGCTATAAATATTGCCAGGTCACTGTCATCTAATTCCAGTGCATTGAACTTCACAGCAAACTCAAACTTGGGTTCCATAAAGTCACAAAAAGGTTTTCTCAGGCTCTTCAGAAACTCCCGTGTCATGAATCCTTGTCCATCAGATATAAGAACTCCATCTTTATTCATCAGAGAAGCCAGGAGAGTATATATGATCTCATGGACCCCATATTTCAGGAGAGTTACTTGATCATTCAGGTCAAGATTCACAAAACCTGGAATGTTCTTGGCGAATTCTGTAATCTCCTGCACTGCCTCCACTGAGCGAAACTGACATCGCTGGAAAATGCGAATTGCTACCTCTTTGTTCTCCTCCTGCAGCGGTGACACATGCTTGCATTTGATTTGATCTTCTCCCATCATTAAAGAGTTCATGTCATAAATAACAAATGGCTAAAAATAAAAGGAAAAGACAATTTACTTTCAAATGCCCTTTCTATGAACATTTGACTCCTGAGAAACTGAAGTAGCATACAGAGGTATAACTCATGAGAAAACGCTTAGAAATCTATGAGGAATATATCAATGGTAGTTGACCCGAAAGGGTTAAATCTTCTTAAACCTATTAAAGCAAATATCCTCACAATGTTAAAATGATTTACAGAAAGGACAAGTAGTTCTTAAGGACTTCTCACATGTTCAGTGAATCCACATTCTAAAAATAGGACTTTGGCTGATACTTTTTTTAATAATCAGGGACAGTGGATAAGGAACACTATTTTAAAATAGCCAGCATTTTTGCATTTTTTGTTGGTTTGTTTGTTTGTTTTCCAGAAGTTCTGATATACCACAATTTGAAGTTTGAAATGCTTATTAACAAAAGATTAAAATTTTACTCCTTTTACGTGAATTTTAATGGCTTCTATAAAACAGAATCTAGTAAGTGTACAGTGACATGTTTGCACTTCTCATGATATAACTTCTTTTTTGTAGAAAGACAGCGTATATTCACATTTTGATTACTTCATATACCGTCACATTCCTTTCCAGTTCTATCCTTCTAGAAAATACTGCAAGTAATATCAACGTCATGGTATTGGTTATCTGATAAATTTAACTTTTTGCTGTTAATTCCTTTAAAAATAACAACATTAGGATGTATTTAAACTCAAATAACTTGTCAATGGGAAAGAAAACGCAAAAAACATGAAACAAACTACAGCGGCACAATTCAGAACACAAGAATGTGTCTGTGAAATAAACTCAACTAGAATAAATCAATTTTTAAAGCAGATTAGAAAAAGTAGTGTCAGGAAAACTTTCATTAGGATCTGGAAACAATCTGTTTCGGAATATGCAGAAGAAGCTCCTGTTTTTAAAGAAGTGGTTAAGTGAAGATTTCTTGAATTTATCTGAAGAATCTCTTTCTTAAAGAATAAATGACTAAATAGTTCACTGCTGCACTGAACAAATCTCTACTGATATTAATAGGTTTGTTAACATACTTGATTATTAATTAAAATACAAGGAATTATACACCAACAATTGGATGACAGAAATATATATTTTAATTTGAGATCCTTTATGATTACAGATTCTAATGCCTTATTTATATGGGTGCTCACTCTCATGGTTTTATTTTCACTATGTGCTGCAGAACAGTTTAAAAAATAACCAGAGCCTTCCTATACGTAGTCAGTGGTCCTCTCCCACAAAATCAGCTTCTGGAAAGTCCTGAAATTCTATTCCTACTTGATTAAACTAGTTTTGAAGTCTATTCAGTGCTAAATTATTATGGAATTTTTAAAAATGAAAATAGCTACTTGCTTAAAGTCTCATGGTGCCTTCTGAGGAGGTATTGCCCACAGATGCTTATCACTACCCACCAGCTAGAGGTTACTACTCCCACCTCCCATAGTTCTGCAGATGGAGACTGTGAAAGTGTTCGGTCATCTGTTTCAGGCTCAGTCGAACACAAAGCTCTGACTTGCTTTCACTAGGAAGAGAGGGAGGGATGAGAGCTGACAGTTTTGTCATTAACTGATACAGCTGCTTGGAAAAAAGAGGTCTATCTGTGAACTGAAATAATAGTATCCGCACGAGAGGATTTCAGCTTTCGAAATGGTTTAGTTAAATCAATATTCTGCTGCTTACAAGACCGATGAAACTAGTGCTGTCACTTTCACAGCAACCACAGGCAAACATAGCTCCAGACCACGAGATTCAGCTAAATCTTGAGTGTGAAGTATGACACTTTTTCTACTTGCACTAGGATTTCATTGTGAAATTGAAAAAATAAACACACCACACTGAGAAAAGCCAGGAGGATCAGATATTTTTCAAGATGTAATGCTATTTGGCAGCAGAAACAACGTTTTATACATATCTGTACATATGTATAGGCATGCATGTGCGAAATAGTGGAATAACAAGAATGAAGAGGAGGCTTTTAAAATGCATGTTTTAGTAGTAGTAGGTCATTCTTTTCTTTTCTTACCAGAAAATCTTAAGTGGGACCACCAAATACAGGAAAAAGGCATCTATTCTGTGCCTGTACATGTGCTTTAGGAAGACTATACTATGCCACTGGCCTACTGACATTAGAAGATGAAAATCAAGAAAGAGTTCAAAATAGCCAAAGACATTTTTAACATAAAGATTCAGATGAACTTTGTGAGCAGAATCTCATGTCAAATGAGCACTGTATATCCCAGAAGAGGATGAACTAGTCATTTTCATTTTGACACACTCACTTAGCATATCCAATCATTTTCAGTTAATGCAGATGATACAGCAATTAAAAAATAACATAAATTTAAACTATGCCTGTAGTAAACAGCTTGGTGTTCCAGAGCACAAAGTCCATTACAGTTCAAATAACGTAAAAGTTGTAACCGTTAAATACTGAGTGTCACCCTTTCAGTGTTTTTTTTTTTTTAAATGACTTGAAAATTTGCAGCAATGAGAAGCTGAATTCTATGTCTATTGTTTTATTGCTATATCCTAATCTGGCAAAGTTTTAAAACTTCAAATAAAAAAGGAGAACGTCATTGATGGCATACTATATATTTACTGCATGAGTATTGCATTAGTGTAATTTTCAGACATGACCAAGTTGCGTAAGCCCAGATGTTTGTTCAGTACCCAGCACAGCAGAACAGCAAACCACATGCCAATTATTTCTTTGACAACTTCACAGAACCTTACGGAACAAAGGTAGGATTTGTGGATGCACTTGGCACCTCAGAAACAAACCTCCCATGTTTCTAAACATATGTCTGGAGAAACAGAAGATGAGAGTGCTGTAGGTAACCCTGCCCAAACTTCTGTCACATTCCAGAGTGTGCACAGTGGGCGGCTGCAGAAAAAAGGAACAGGCCTCCTGGTTTCATTTTTAGGATGAAGAGGAGTAAACAAGATACATCATTACACCCTCCACTTCTATTCTGTTTCCCAATGCAGGTACATAGTTATTAAGAACACATTTTAAAAAATCTAAATTGCTCTATTAACTGTTTCCCAGTAACCTACATTTCTCATATAAAGAGGGAACTGTGGAAAGACTAGGAAAAAGCAATGACCCACAAGTGGACTTAGTGTATCAGCTTTCTGCAGGATAAATAAACTATGCTAGTTCAAACTTTATATACTCCATGATGAAAAGTTACTAAAATTTGAAGTGTCCCCCATATCTGAAGTTTTTATGTGAGCGGTACAACCAAATTAGGGACAATATTTAAATTATGATTTTAACTGCCTTTAAAGAAAGCAAGTCTAAAATACCTCCTAATTCTTTCCTGTCTTTGAAATTATTAAAGAAAATAAAATACAGTCTCTGTTGTAATGCTAACAATAAAATTTCTGCTGATGATTCTAGAAAATATATCAAACTAAGAGTTATAAGTTTTGGAAAACTGTTTTGCTCTTTAGGTATTAAAATAGTGACAAAATTTAAAACCCACCGTAATTATCAGATCTTATTTATCATAGAATCGTAGAATCATTATGATTGGAAGAGACCTCAAAGATCATCAAGTCCAACCGTATACCTGATGCCACCATGCCCACTAAACCATGTCTTGAAGCACTACATCTAAACGTTTTTTGAACACCTTCAGGGATGATGACTCCACCACCTTCCTGGGGAGCCTGTTATCCTCCTTCTCACTGATACAGAAGATTGCTATGTATTGCCAATGAAGTTTCCAAAGCAACCCACAAATACACATATCTCTATTCCTTACTTTTCAAAGATTTTCTTGTACATTCTCCTAAAATTCAAGTTGCACCAACACAGGATACCAATCTGATGCAAGATAACTCAGTTAAATGCAGGAAGTCATCAGAGCATCATAAGAATAAACATCATAGTTAAGGTTAGCGATGATGTTGGTACTGGGAATCATTTGACACTTACGAAAAAGAATATTCTTTTGGGTACAGCTAGTACTGATAATAGACTATAATAATATCCTATGATACAGATGCTTGAATAGTATAGCAACCAAGTCCTGACAGCTAGATAGCCACCTTAAACAGATAGTGTGGAAGATAACCTTTGGAGAAGGAGAAGGAAAACGGGAAGAGTGGATCAGAGAATACAAAAAGGTTAAGGTGACCTTCAAATTCTTGTACTAGTTTCAAGTATTTTATTAGGTGAACTTGGAGTTTTTTTTCAAATAATGTTTACTTATCCTATCTAAAAACATTTCCTGTGTTTCAGACACAGCTTGAAATATGTAACTGCCAACAGCAAAGTTTTTTTCTGTGTTTTTTTTTTTTTTAAAGATGTGTTGTCAATGTGGTAAATCATTTAGTCAAAAGAAAGGAAAAAAAAAAAAACAAAACACAAAACACAGAGGGAACTAACTGATTTGTCTGTCGTCTTTCCTGTCAAGATCGCCCTCGCCTTGGCTTTGGTCAGAGGGAAGGACTTTATGTATGAGTCATACAAATGCTTGGCAAGTGCTCGTAGATCAGCAGATTCAGGGTTTAACTGGTCGATGTCGCTGGAAATCTCTGCCAAGAGCTTCTCCTTCTCCGCTTGTGGCATTCGCCCAAACCTGATGGCTGAAGAAAATGACAGGCAATTACTATAGCTATAGTTGCACCTAAAAAAAGTATATTTGAAGAGCTTTTTATGTCACATTTTTACGAGCTCTCGAAGCTTTTATTAAAACAGTACTTAGGCAAGTAAGAAAAAGATTATTTTCTGCAGTAATATAGGCAAAACAGCTGAAGTGCTTTAAAGAAAGTTAACAAACAAATCTCAAAGAGGAAATAATCTCTGTACCCAAACAGTAAGATTACAATAGCTTGCTTGGAAATGCAAACATATTGTCTTACCTGACAGAGTTGGTGAAAACCACTAATTCTACCTCCAATCTAAATAAAATGCAAAGAATCTCTAAGATAGTAAAATTCTGTTGGCCTAGGGTAGGAACCACCTTTCAGCCTTGTATTGTTTTGGGCAAATCACCATATGGATCTCAGAGTCTTCATTTGTTTAGAAACAAAACACTCACATGCCTTGCAGGAATAAATTCCTGAATAGTTCAACAGAACTTAATATAGCAAGGACTATAAAATGTTACCAAAAGAATTAAGGAATGAGAAAGAAGGTTGTACAGGTAATAAAAAAGCCAGAAAAGGCCAAGTTCTTCATGGTAACTCTATGTGCATGCGGTATTGAAAGAACAGGAAATGGTTCTACCTAGTCATATGCTCTCACAATTGCTCAATACCAACATAAGGCAGGCTGTAAATCTCCTACTTTTACACCTATGTACTTATTATCCAAGACACTATTTAGTCATATGGAGATTGACTTGGAAAATATTTCAAATGAGCCACCAAGATCAAGACCGATTTATCATCTATTTCAGTAAACAGAATTTATTTTACGAAAACAAAACGGAACAAAAGAACATCAAAACAAAAAACAAAAGGAAGAAATGAAGGTTTGCATTTTGGTCTTCAGAGGAAATAGAAATATTATAAACATTTTTTCAGCGATTAGTGTTTTCCCTGGATAAAGTAAAAGTGCTGTTATGATCATACATATCAATGATTATACTAGGGAGGTTTATTTTGGAATGATAAACCACTTTCCTTTTATGAGTTTGTTTGCAGTGTGCTGATGGACAAAAATGACACTTTTTTTCAAGAATAATTAGTTGTGCCAAAAAAACATAGAAAGACCTCTGTTTGCCATATATTATATTTATTGATCGGTTCTCTTATTTCATGGCTGTAGAAACAAGGTCGTTTATTTTTGCAACTGTACTACATTTCTCTTACAGCAAACTTAGTCCCCGAATGATGTGTGCTGTATATTTGATATTTGCTTGGGTATTCTTACAGTTAACAGGTCAGAATAAAAATCATCATGAAAGGAAACCTAGTTCAATAGGCAGAAATTAACATATTCTATTTTTTTTCCCCCAGAAAATGTCTGTTGCTTATAATTTTTTTATATAGGAAATTTTGAACAATTAACAACTGATACTTGTTTTGGATCATATATACCATGGCATATGTATTTTTTTCCTCTCTCATGGGAAACACTAAGTATTCTTAATCAGCTACTAAATTTTCAGGGAGACATCTCCTTTCTTCTGATAGCAAAACATTCAAAGAAAAATTACTAACTTCATATTAGTTTATATGACATACTATAATGGCTCAAAGAGACTGACGTCATTCTGTAAAGAAGTAATGTGAATGGACGAACATATGGTAATGTTAGTGATGTAACAAAAATTTATATCAAACAAAAGGAGATTTCATATTTGTACTTAGTGTAACCTAAATGAAAAGATGAAAAAATTCAGCATAACTACAAAGGAATTAATTGAGCTACATGTACTTTCATGAACACTGTGAATCAAGGCCATTTTGGTATTTTCATTTTGCAGTTAAAATGGATTCTCTCACTATTAAAAACTCTTATTTGTAGTTAACATAAATATTTTGAGTTTTTTTTTCAAAAAACATGTATGGATGTTGATGACATTAAACCCACAATACTAATATCTGCACTTTAGACATTCTTGAAGATGTAAAATGAACAAAGTATGCGTATTTAATGAAGCAGATAGAGTGAAAACTTGCTGAGAATATTTTTTAGCATTTACAGATTTTTTTTTTTTCAGATACTTAAGGACTAATTCAATAAAAAGAATCAAACTGTCATCAACATAATAAAGCTAAAATATAGCATTACATACATATTGTAAAAAGTTGTTACAGGGACAGCATGTATAACTAAAATGTGGGGTCAAGAAGGTGTTAAAATAATAATATAGCTAATAAAACTGTTAAAGGTTAATTAAAAGTCCATGTTGAACAGTGCGGCTAGACATTTGTTAAATTCATATTTTCATTAAAAGCTATTATGTTCTTGACTAAACCAGGTTTCAGATTTAATATTAATTTAATATTCAACTTGTGACAGTCATAGAATTATGTTTTATGATTAATTTGTCCACTTTTCAAATGTGGATGTTGCAATAGCTTCACCTATGGAAAAAAAATCTTGTGATACTTTGATGCTTCTGATTGGGTACTTGCCAACAAATTCAACTCCTCCTCGCCATCTTTTTCCAAGGAAGACTTTGCAAACTGAAGACCTAAGTGAAGTCTACCAAGACTTCTCAGACTATTACAGTGGACCTTTGAATTTGGAAAGAAAGCGAGGCAAATATTAGCCTCATATAAAAGACTGTTAATAAAAAAGGGAGATCAGAGTTGCCCATGTCTATAAAATGTCGATCACTTCCAGAAATACATGAAATGCAATTTATTACAACCTGAAGACTTCTTAACACTTAGTAAGAAATACTTAGGAACTCTAAGGAACATGTCCTTTGAGAGATTCCACAATCATATCAGGAACTAGGTGCTTTGGACCAGAAATATGTTTTGTTGTGATAAATCCTACTTGTAAACTGTTTTCATATTTTACATAGAATACATTTATAACATTATATATAATATCTTTATAATATGTTTACAATAAATTATGCATCCCTAACAGTCTGATGTGAATTCTATAAGCTCATTCTTTAAGCTTATAATGTTTATAATGTGGAACCTCACTGACATAAGACTCCCTTTCATTAAGGTTATTTTTACGAACATGAGATAAAAAAAAAAAAAAAAAAGGACAGTATATTGCTTCCCCTTCCTATGTTTTCATATTAACTTAGCTCTGAAATAGTTCATAACCTTCCCAGAGGCATTAAAAACAG